AAACCTTTCCATGTTGGAGATAGGGTATACTTATCTACAAAATTCCTGAAGTCACTGCAGCCATCAAAGAGGCTGCAAATTTGCTGTCCAAATTTCATTGGACCTTTCTCTATCACTAGAGTCATCAACCCAGTAACCATAGAACTCTTCCTTCCAAAGACACTCAGGCAAGTCCACCCAGTATTTTACATTAGTTTACTCAAACGAGAGGTAATCTCATCACTCAAACTACCTGCACCTACACCACCTGTTCCTATCATGATAGAAGGTAAACAACACTTTGAAATTAAGGAAATCCTTGACTCTAGGATCCCACAGGGGGAAAAACCCAATACTTAGTTGCTTGGAAGCATCTATCTTTGTCCCAAAATGAATGGGTAGCTAAACACCATGTTAGATCTACCTTATTGAAAAAAATTCACTCCCAAAACCCTGATAAACCTTATTAAAATACTCTGATGGAATTTTTGTTTCTATCTTTTCACAGGTGGGTCTCTCCTGTATGAAAGACCAAAATGATTGTGTACTTTGGCATACAGGTAGTCCTCAACATATGATCACAATTGAGCCCAAAATTTATGTTGTTAAGTAAGAAATTTGTTCAGTGAGTTTTGCCCCATTTTACGACTTTTCTTGCCACATTTGTTAAGTAAATCACTGCAGTTTTTAAATTAATAACACGGTTGTTAAATGAATCTGATTTCCCAATTGACTTTACTTGTCAGAAGATCAAAAAAGGTGATCACATGATCCAGGGGTACTGCAACCGTCATAAATGTCAGTCAGTTGTCAAGCATCTGAATGTAAATCACATGACCATGGGGCTGCTACAATAGTCATAAGTGTGAAGAGTGATAAGTCACTTTTTTCAGTGCTGTTTAACGTCAGTCACTAAACGAACTGTTGTAAATTGAGTACTACCTGTATTTGCTAATGATGAGCAAATAGATGTAGAAAGTTTGATAGATACAACTGCTGATAGAAAATAGACATAATCCAAATTTTAAAAGTATAAGTGAGAAATGGGAATGGAAGGAACTATAGAAATAATTGATGTAGGAATTATTCATATCAGTAGCTACTGGTGTCCCAAATCTGACTTATGCAGAGATATGCATTTTAAAAAAGGAATCCTGTATTTTTTTTAAAAATCAAAACAAATGTGAATTGTAAAAACAGTACATGTAGCACATGTGTAAATTATATAACAGGCTTAAGTTGTTCATCAAGTGGAAAGAACATAGGAAGATAAGGATTAGGAGATGACTATCAGGAAAAAAGTTATTCCTATATTGATTTAGCTCACTAAGCAAAGCTTAAACAAACAAAGCATTGCATTTTCTCATTGTGCCGAACATATTAAAGCCATTCCATTAGCTTATTTTGATACATTGAATGGTTAATGTCTGTAGTATGAACTGTAATGTTTAAGGTCTATATAAACTAAATAAACCAAACAGGAACCATTACATTATACTTTCATGATGTATGACCAAAGAGTTCTTAAGATAGGATAGACTCTGTATTTGAGTCTGCTGAACAACAACCCAAGCTGGTAAGAAAATTTCAGTCCCTAGAGGCTATTTGAAAACCCAGAGATCATTACCAAATACCTCTTTAATGTATTTCAGTTACAAACCACAGTATTTTAATATTATTATTATGTTATTTTGCTATAATGAAGCAGGTGCAGATCCCTTTTCTCCCTCTAGAGCAACTGCAAGTAAAGCCTGAACTAAAAAAATCAATTCAATAGCCTTCAAAATAATAAAAGAGGCAATCTTCCTACAAATATGTCCACCTGTATATACTATTTTCTAGTGGAAAATCAGCAATAAGGCTGTCTCTTGAAATGAGTAGAGATGTTCAACATAATATTCAATTAAACCAAAGCAAGACTTCTATACTACATGTATCTAAATTCATGATTATATACATCTATATTACTTGGGATAAGGTTAGTTCTAGTCCCACTTACTTGGAAATGAAGCAGTATTTCAGTTTAACTGTACTATTAATCAAAGCATATAATTTATTCCTGTTATTCAAGAACAATGAGAAATGGGTTTCAATTCTTTATTGAGTAACTGCCTATTTGAAAATAGGAGAAATCATATGGTACAATATACCGTATTTCAAACGAAGCCAGAATACAGAAGACATTAATGCTGTATTTGATAACCCTTCCTATTCCAACAGCTACAACTTTTGTATGAACATCCAGCAATAAAAGTTAATCTGACAAAATAATAACATATAGGAAAACATAACCTTCTGAGTAGGTAGTGTTAAGTGGATACAAACAGAAGCAGTGAAAGCAGCAAGCTTTTTTTTGCAAAGGTTTATATCTTGCTGTTTATTTTCACATATTTATTGGATGTGTACGTAGGTATTTTTAACCATTTCCAATAAATATTTAAGTTCATGTGATTTTTATTCCTAAAGCATCATTTTCCGTGAGCTGTCCACCGCATTTCCCAGAGATGTTGGCAGAAAATGCAGAGGGAACAGACGCCTAGCATGGAGAGCAATATGCTATAGCAAGCAAACAGGCGTTTGCGCAGCAAAGAATCGCTGCTGCGGTTCCCATGCAACGTTCCGTTATCTCCGGCGACGCCAACGCAGACGGCACATAAACCCGCTCGGGGCGAGCCGGGGGGGGGGATAGCCGCTTCCAATACCCCCACCCTTTACACCCTCACTGGGCTGCTTCCAGCGCGGAGTTTGGGGGCACTCACCCAGAAAACGAAGGAATAGATGATGAGTAAGGTTTTCAGACACGTTATCACGGGTTTGGTCTCCATTCTCCTCGATGCCATAATACTGAAATCCCGGCTGGTGGCTCAGGGCAGGGGAGGGAGTGTGCGCCAGAAGGGGAGGGGAAGGAGGGAAGGAGGGGAGATGCGAGCTCCGTTCGCGCCTCTACGGAGCGGCGGATTCGTGCCGCCGGCTCCCGCGCTACTAATATTATCACGGCCGAGGCGAAAGCTTGGAAGCGGCCGCTCCAGAGTGCTCGTGCACAGCCCGTCCCTCCTCCAGCCGTCTCGCAGCTACCGCACACCACAGCCCTGGCAATATTGTGCGCTCACACAGGCGGAGAAAGCAGGAGATAATCGACCTTTCCTAGCCCTCGGGCCCCGCTATCTGGAAGGCAGCACCAGGGCCGGGAAGAAGGAAACGAGAATCTCCGCTGCCCAGTTACGGGAAAGGCGCCGAGGCAGGAAGCAAAAGAATACGCAGGAGGATGGAAAAGGCAGTTGTGTTGATGGCAGGTCCACCGTCGTGGCGCAGTAAAAGAAGGAAGACGTCTCCCGCGAGGGTGTCTTAGGGCTGGGTGATGCGGCTGGGGGGAGGGGAACCGATGTAGATCATGTAGGCAAAGCAGGCTGCTTATCGCCAGACTCCTGCTGAAAAGGGAGCCGCGTCTGCATTTGGGTATCATAGAAAGGGTTGCGCGGTGGGCCTACTGAGTGCGCAGCCATGATGGGCGTGTGGACCTGGAAAAAGAACTTGAAAAAGATGGTTTCCTCGGTCTCCAGCTACCTCTCATAGGCTTCTACATTCAAAAGGGTCCTTGTAACAATTGGAAAGCAAGGAGAATAGCTGCTTTCTAGCCAGAGCTCATCTTTATTTGTTTCTTTGTTTGTTACAATTTGAGCTGGTTGTATAAATAATCCCTTTTCCTGGTGAGGTAAAATCTTCTGATAGTTTACTTCCTAAATAGAAAACAAGGAAATTCATGCTTGCCTGAACTTGAACTTCCTGACCCAAAACTGCTTACTTCTCTTATTAGTAAAGTGATGCAGCTATTTAGGTGATGAAACAAAAGAATGTGTCAGACAAGGTGGTCGTAATGTATATCCCACTTCAATAATAAAAGCAAAACAATGCGGCACAGTGGGAAAACATATTCCACTAATGAGAGGATAGTTGGCTACCATATCATTGTATCGTGAAGGTTATGCATTTTAAGCAACACAGACACAGGTGGACGTACCAAAAACTATGAGCTACTAAAATTTCTTCAGAATAATTCAGTTGACTTAAGTATTAGTATTTCAGGTAGTATCCCAATTAAAAATTGCATAAATTATCTTGAAACCTGGATGGAATTAACACTATTGCTTTGTAGTTGGTCAATTAGTTATTCACTATCTAAATCAACTCTTGTGCTGAAATTAGTATCTAATCACTTATTAGCTAAAACTGTCATAAAATCAGTAGGACTTCACTTATTTATTAACATTAGCTTATCTGGCATTCATAAATGAAGGTTTTCTGGGAGACAAAAAAAGCTTTTTAAATTTTAAATATATATTTTTCTGAATCCAAAGGGACAATTTTCTTATATAGGAAGATATTTGTGGAGACTTTCTGCTTGATATCTTTTTCATTTTTAACTTTAAATGAGCATCTTATTGAATGAAGATCTAATATCCACACATTTATGCCTGAGCATTAATAATAGCTTTTTATCAATTGTGTAATAAAACAGGAACTGAGGAAAAATACCTTATATAAAAGAACATGGCAGTGTAGCAGACTACTTGAGCAGCATCATTTGTTTTCAGAATTCAGTGCTAACCCTTCTATTTCTTATAGACTAGTAGTGATATGCATGGTCATAGTGCTGATTATGGTTGTCAGATGGAAGTGCTATCTGCTTCTCTCTCTTTTCTTTCTTTTCCTCTTTTTCTTTTTGTATCCCTTTCTCTCTCCTCCCCCTCCCACCCGCACTTCCCAACCCCTACACCCAGGGAATAACTGTAAGGAAATTCGGCCACATTTTCTCCATCTCTGGAAAGATATGGAAATCTTGTATTGCAAAAGGAGTGACTGTCAGGCTGTTACATTGCAATTTGACGAGGTTGCCGTTTTAGATTGCCACACTCACTTCAGAGAAGCATCACACCAAGCAGCAGTACACTCACAGGCATGCATACGCATCCTGCAACTCGGTCCAAACTGACCAGAAAATATAGTCCCTCGGCATGGGCATCCCCAAAGACGCTTAGCAGGCAAACTATGGGATGACACGCGCACACACCATCAGCAAGGCAGCATCCACTGAATCCTTTCAAAACTGGGCAAAGATGGAGAGGGGAGCAGACGGAGCCGAATTGAGCTGAATCTGTCTCTGTCTCTCTGGCTGCCCAACTGCAGCAAGAAATGGTGGGCAGCTACTTCCGGCTTTCGTTGGTGCTGGACACACAGCCTGCTCGCCACTCCCAGTCATTGGCCAGCACCGCAGCAAAAGCCGCTGCTGTTGCCAAAGGCGAGTAGGATAGGGTCACATTGTGGCTCTGCATCATAATGGGCTCCAGGAGGAGGAGGGGATCCCATCTCCCCCATTGTGAAGCATGCTAACTTTCACTGTGCTGCGCAATGCACTGCGAGTGTAGTAGGCAGGCCATGAAGGCGGCAACAGCAGTGGCATCAGGAGGGGGCTGAGCCGCAGGTTGCCGATGTGGTCTAGCCTGTTAGGGGCACCCATCTCTTTTGATTATGGCTCAGTATTCATGCAAGTGTCCCTAAATGGATTAACCAATTCAACATAGTTCAGTTATCCTGAAACATAAGCTCAAGATTACAGTTTTTGACAGGAAAAATATGCCAAAAACTTTGGCATACTTTGCCAAAGTATGAAGAGTTTTCTTGCTCCAAACGTGCTTGAAGTCATCATCTGACCTGGTAGCTCTTTTCCTTAATCGTGATATTGGCAAGAGCTAAAAAGGAGGAAAGACATTTTGAACCAGGACTATATGATTTTTATAAAGCTTTGTCTTAAGAACTTTTTTCATTGCTGTTTGTGCTCAGAGCTGTAATCTGCCTAAGAATAAGGCTCAAACTCTCATTTGCACTTTAGTTTGAATCTAAAGTAGATCCTGTTGGGTTATTTTTCTACTTTGTAAGTTGGGCAGCCATCTGAAACTAATAAAGAAAGAAACAAATAAATATAGTCCAGAAATACTTTACACAAAACCTGACTCCCTTTTGAAAAACATGGAAGAACATTTTTTAAAGGCTTATATGGCGGTCCATTTATTAAGGCAAAATGACGAAAGCATGTCCAACTTGTGTCCCAAGAATGCATGTGGCCCTGCAGCCCCATGAGATAATAAAATAGTTTTTTTTTAATTTTGCTATTTATATATAAACTATATTATGCATTTTATTTGCAACCCAATGGACAATTCTTCAGTCATCGTGGCCCATGCATGCCAAAATATTTCAATCAAAATAATTTCAAGCTCTTCCACATGGCAGAGCTTGTTTCCCATGCTGCACCCATTTGAGATTATACTGGTTTATGAAATGACTGTTTGGACTGACATTGTTTTTCAACTTTGGCAATGATACTAGCCAGGTGTTCTGTTTAGGTGGCAGTTGTATTGTATTGTATTTAATAGATTTATAGGCCGTCCAATCCTGGGGGACTCCGGGCGGCTTACAGAAAGTAAATTATAAAAAATAAAGAATTAAAAACATAAAAGACAGATTAAAAACCTCATCATGCACCCAATCTGGTCGGGGCTGGATCTCAGACATGAGGTCAACAGCCCCAGGCCTGCTGGAATAGCCAGGTTTTAATAGCCTTTTGGAAGGCCATGAGAGTGGGCAGGGTCTGGATCTCTGGGGGTAGTTCATTCCATAGGGTCGGAGCGGCTACAGAGAAGGCCCTCCAGGGAGCCGCCAGCCGACATTGTCTGGCTGACGGCACCTGAAGAAGGCCCACCCTGTGTGATCTTATCGGCTGTTGGGAGGTATGCGGCAGTAGGCGGTCTTGCAGGTATCCAGGCCCTAAGCCATGCAGGGCTTTAAAGGTAATGACCAGCACCTTGAATCGCATTCGGAGACCAATAGGAAGCCAGTGCAGCTCGCGGAGGATAGGTATAACATGGGTGTACTTTGGTACACCCAATATCACTCGCGCGGCTGCATTCTGGACTAATTGTAGTCTCCGAACACTTTTCAGGGGCAGCCCCATGTAGAGCACATTACAGTAGTCAAGTCTTGAGGTGACAAGTGCGTGAGTGACAGCTTGAAGTGCCTCCCGATCCAAATAGGGCCGCAACTGATGCACCAGGCGAACCTGGGCAAAGGACCCCCTGGTCATGGCCGACAAGTGATGTTCTAATGTCAGCTGCAGATCCAGGAGGACCCCCAAGTTGCGGGCCCTCTCTGAGGGGTGTAAATTTTCACCCCCCAGGATTAAGGATGGACTATCTGGGCTGTCCTTCAGGGGCAACATCCACAGCCACTCGGTCTTGTCAGGATTGAGTGCAAGTTTGTTCACTCCCATCCAGATCCTGACAGCTTCCAGGCATCGGCACATCACGTCCACCGCTACACTGAGCTGATACAGTTGCGGAGAGATACAGTTGCGTTTTGTCCGCATATTGATGGTATTTAATCCCGTGCTGACGAATGATCTCACCAGGGGCTTCATGTAGACATTAAATAGGAGGGGGGACAAGACCTAACCTGCGACACACCATATTTAAGGGGCCTAG